AACAAAAAGCAATTGGAGGAAATTAATTACTCCGTATTAAATCGGTTGTATAAATTCGGGGAAAATATTGTGTTAACCGAGGAACAAAAAATTATATTTTCATTTCAGTATGTATTTTTTTGATAGTATATAATTTTTTGATGACTAGAAAACATTTCAAATAAACAAATTCTTATATATTGTGTGAAATGATTGTTATATGATATATATATATTTTAAAATATATGCACACTTATACGTTATTGTAACTGTTGTATAATATAAAATATAATGATTTTGTGTTTAATTGATGACAGAAAAACTAAAATGTTAAAAGTCAGATGTGTTGTTGATCGATTGTGTATTTTTGTACGGGATTAAAATAGAATTTATTAAAGCTTATAACCAAATTCGTGACCACTAATAGCGTTTGTATTTCTGGTTTGCTTTTATTTTATTAAAAAAATGCATATAGAGAATTAATAAGTATGATGGGTTTAAAATTTTATCTTATATTGAATTTAAGATAAAAATATGCAAAACAAAAAAAAACCTTAAAATTATAATAGTAATCAATAAAATAAGTGTGTAACTAAATGTTATTTAACATAGCATAAGACTGATAGTGAAGTTTGGAGCTAGTTCAATTAAATTTATATTTTAAGTTTATAATATCTGTACCGAGAATCCTATATCAATAGATCAATAGATTTCAATCCCATTCACTCTTATGGTAACATCGCACAGATTTAGATATTGTACAATGTTCTTGACATTGAGCGGCAGCGTCATCTGACTGTCGACGAAACTATTAGCTATAGGTTTATTAGAAAATTCCTATTCGTAATAAACGAGAATATTTTGCAATGTTTAAGTAATCGAGTTATTACGTATAAAAGGACCACTAGGTCCGTTTGCGTCAGTCTTTCGAATAGCGACATACAATCGTTACAAGCAATATTACCTGCGATATTATCTTCTATCTTAATAAAGGATACATTTGTGTTTTCTATCACATACTGTGCTCATAATGCTTATCAAACTCTAGATCGTTACAGTATATACAAATAAAACTTTAATATATAAAAGCAATGTGGCTATCCATTTAAATTGATTGATATTATTTTCAAACCAGTGACACTATTTTACGGCTGTTGTAAATTGTATTTCGAATATTTGCTTCATATATTCTGAACACATACAATAATAATAGGATTCTGCTACGCGTTTCAATGGTAGAATTTTTTGACATGCACGATTTGTAGCTATCAATCACTGTCTAAATCGAGGCAGTACGACAAAAATACTTTTCCCGTGGCATTATTCTTTTTTATTCCGATAATATGTCTTGTCGTGATTTCAGCTTAAGTAAATTGTTATATACTAGAATTTATTTACAGCTCGAACCTCATAAGGGTACTATTGATACTCAGGATCTCTTATATTATTCTGGTAATAAATAAACCCTGCTCATAAGGGTGGGAGTTTATAGGAATATTGAAAATAAAAGATACATTTATGTTCTATTCTAAATAATATAAATGAAAACCGTAATTTTTAGTGTTATACAACTGTCATGTATATAAATGATTCTTTTTTATAAAAAAAATACATAATAGACATACAGAATGTATCACATAATTGAAAATACATACATCGAGATTTGAATGAGAACCGAAGTTACTTTGTATGATTTACAAGCCCATGGTAGTAGTTGTTGAATCTTCAAGTATCTACCTGTGGCACCCAGTTGTTAACAAACTTATAGACGAAATACATAAATTTTTTCGTGTACCTATATTATTTGTAATGCACTGAGTCAGCACATAATAAATTTTGTAATCCAAACACAAACGGGTGTCGATCTTTAATTCTGTATTTGTATGAACCTCCTAAAATAAAAATAAAAAATGTTGTTTTTTAATAACATAAACTTTTTTTAATAGATATGCCTTATTTAATATTGTTAAATCAAAAGAAGAATATTGTGCCATAATAAATTTCATAGATCAGTTTCTGTATGAACATATTATGTATTTTTACTTTCAATATGTCGTAAAACTTGTTAAATATTACATTTATTTTGTTATGTTTTCTTTTTTAACGAGGAATTGATCTAGGCTATTTTTATTTGTAATTTCCCTACTGATCGCCTTGCCCATGTTTCAAATATAGAAAAGCTTCTATATGATAATATCAGCACCAATTATGAATACACGCAAGGGACTTTCAATTTGAAATACACATGGCTATCGATTAAGAGGTTGCATTATTTATTGCAGTAAGACACATTCATTGAGCCGTTTATAGTAAGTTAAGTAAGTATAGTTCCCATTTATACGTATGTATCGTACAGGATAGTGTTTAAAACTGCAGTTAATTAACGCTTAGACTAAATTAGGTTACATTAAATGTTAGTTCAAGTATGTTTTAGTATTCTATTAATGACGAAGTGTTACTATGAGTTTTATTTAATATAAGTTAAAAGCTTACGGTAATACTAGTGTTATCTATTGTCATAAAATGAAACAATAAATTGGGTTAAGCAGTATTTATTTCATTATTTTAGCATTTTCTTTTTTTAGTCAGTCAGATAAGTGAAACTAAGTAATATGCCTACAAAAATAATTACGTGGTTTATTAAGAAACTTGATTAAACATTTCTTTATACATATATGACATTGCTTGTGTTTCTCTTAGGGGTTAGCATAAATAAATGATCATATAGCGAGGCTGTTGTAGTCGTTCTGTATTTAAACACACCATTCATATTTCTTCATTGTAGCTGATTTTCTGTATTATACCAAATCTTTGCCCTTTAATTTTGAAAAAAATTCTTCATTGAAAACCATCTTCTTGCATATTATATTACTGACTTAAAAATATCATTTTAATATAGGTTTGTTTTATCGTAGCTCAACACTTATTAACTGTTCTTGAAAGGTATGTAACTGAACGTCTATCATTATTCCAGTGATAGGTTTGTAAATTAAAAGTTATAACATAATATTATTTACTTACTATTTCAAAAATATTAAACAATAATAGTCCACTTCAGCTTACCATTTGGCATAAGCTCTTATTATTATACGATTGTATAGAAGCTAATTATTATGTGTAATTTTTTAAAATGATGGCGTTTTTATTTTCAGCTCATTATAATTATACTTAACATTTATTATGTATTTCTGGTTGTGAAGAATGAAAAAGATATATACAAGATATATACATACTTAATACTAATATTGTAAGGACATTTACGATTTTTACTTACGTTATACTGTAAATAAGGGCTGGTAGAATTAAAATACATAAATATATACAGTTTTGGAATTATATTTCATATCGTAAAAGTAAGTGACTTAAAACATATTAATAGGGAGGGCTTATAACTCTTGAAAGTCAAGAACTCAATTCATAAAAAAAAAGTTTTACAATGTTAACCTACTACAAAAACATAAATTGTAAAATATCAGATTTAAAAGCAATGAGAAAATTTATAATGTTATCAAAACGTAATGATTAAATAATTTAAACAAATTAAATCATTTATTATAACTTTGTAACTTAAGATGTTTTTATTTAGACTGCTTTATTTTTGTAAGGCCAGATTGCAATTACAATATAATATTCACGTAAAAATAAATAAATGTTTTTAAGTGATTATTGTATTTGTATTTTCAAGTTTTTTTCTGCGTTTACTTTACAATTGAAAAAATTATAAAAAAAACATACCCAGCGTACTACAAGTGAGTTTTAAAATTCAAAGTGACATTATTTATGTTCAGAATTGTGAAAATATTTCGGATATATTAATATTGAGTAGCTTGATTTGTATTGTAAATCATGTCGTAATTTATGTATCCTCGCGAAACCCAAATACAGACAAGCACGATAAAATAACATTTATAACTTCCTAGGTAAATAAATTATCGTTATATACCAATTTTTATGATACAGTTGTTGAATATACTTAATTTTTATTTCAGTGTTATATTTGTATGCACTATTTGTTATTACCAAATAATTGATAAAAGTTTATAAACTAGAATAATGAAAACGTGTAGATTTATTACTTAATTAGAACATTTTGACCAATATGTTTTTAGGACTGTCAAGTTAGATTTTTTTTTAGTATTAAAAAGATGTCCGTTGCAAAACTACATTTAAATAAAAATATGACTTGTAAAGAAAATTAAACCAATTCATTTGAAATTTATAATAAATGAGATTATTCCTACTTATTAGCATCTCAAAAAAATTATGTCCCTTGGATGGAAATTAAAAGAAAATTGTAATGCATTTATTCACATACATACTACCCCGAATTGCATTGATGTTCAAGGTAGGTACGGCACAGAGCCACGGTTCCCTTTATATTTCGTGGTAGCTCGACCTTGTTTAACAATGGTTACTAATATTTTGTACGTTGCTATTAATTAACGGTATATAAGTATAAGCTATACATTTTACGTCAATTTATTATAATTGTAAGCATTGTTACACAATAAAAGGCCAAAAAAAAAGGTTAGAAACACATCATTAATCATAAGAACTCATACCTTTTTGATTTTATAGTAGTCAGGTAAAAATAAAATTACAAAGAGTTTTTTAAAGAATACTTTTTATTAAAGCAGAAGCTTACAACTCATTAACAATACATAGTTTCCTTCATGTGTTATTCGAGTGTAAGTAATAACACGGTATGTCATAGAAATGAACAGCTAAATATTGATTACATTTTAATAGCAAAGTTCAAGAAAGGAATTTTAAATATTTATTCACAATGAAAAGAAAACGCACTCTGTTATTATAGGGAAACCTATAGTTAATATCTAATACATCGTCGTAAAAATTTTATACATTAACCATTACGATACTATCCTAAAGTTAGCACATTTTTACAAATTATCTATATTGTACCAAAAGTATATTGTGATCTGACCCTAAGAAATGTGAGATTCATTAAGATAGTAGCGAAGAATTCAGTCTTTGCCTCACTAACACAAAATGGAATGGTATTAAACTTGACTGTGTGCAATGATGTCTGAAGTATTGGTAACCAGCATATCAGCCAAAACTCTTTCTCTGTTATTTAATAATTGAAGATTGCCTTCATAAGGAGCCAGCTTCATCTTGATTTTATAAAATCCGTCTGTTATTTCGGTTGTGAGTTTATGCCAGATTTTCGGATCATTCCATAAAACACTCGTTCGAAGATCTCTTTGCTCTTTAAGGTAAGCGTATATAGAATTTTCAGGCCCAATATCGGTAAATACGTATACAGTGTTCTTAGATTTCATCATTGCTCCTCTTATTTTTTTTATACTTATATGACTGTACACAGTCATTAAATAATTAGGTGTAAATATAACCAAAGACATTTTGGGTACTTCGAAAATATTGAGGAAACAGTTTAAACTCTCATCATCTGTTCCATTTATCGCTTGTGCGTTCACCTCTACTTTCTTATGTTCTTTCAACTCTGGTATAATTTCCTTGAGTACAAATTCTTCGTCCTGTTCCGAGTATTTAACTGTTATAGTTTTGTTAAGGTTAGCCAGAGCTTTCGGTTTGATATAATAAAGAAATTTATGTTTTAGACGATCTGGTAGGTGTTGATTGAATGTGACACAAATCAATATTCCGATTGCAGATAAAGTAAGAGAACAAATCAATAGAGTTAACGAAAGTGCGTATCTCTTGTAACATCCTGTTCTTACCCAAAAAGAACAATTTTCCAAAGGATTATTTATGATCTGAAAGTTAAAGAAAATTAAAACGTTCATAATATACAAGTTTTTTGTATTGTTTAAGAACGAAAAATATCTTTGGAACTATAAAAAGACATGCATGTTTTTCTTACATTGTGTAATATTTTAGCAACCCTTTTTTTAGGTATTTACATATTTACTAACCTTAACGCTTAACTTTTCTTGAAGATAATCAATAAAGTGAAAATTTATGCAATTACAAAGTATTGGATTGTTTGTTAACCAGACATATTTCATTGATTTTCTTGCTTTTTTGAATGATAGGCCGACATCATTCAAGTGTTCTGTTTGACCCTAAAAATATTCATATGTTAAAATAAAAATAATATTTTATCTTATATTTGTAGAACTACATATCTACATGTACATACCCCGATGTTCTGTATAGAATTAAAACTTAAATCCAAGTGATCATGTCCGTTAATCCACCAGTCTTCATATGCAGTATCAAAATTATTGTGACTTAAATTGAGCATTTTCAAATTGTAAGTGAATGCAAATGGAGAAACCTGGACCACTGATAAATCATTGTTTTCTATTTCTTTATTTTCAAAATGAAGTTTGTTATATGCAAGGGAAATTATCATTCTTTGCTTATTATTCGTAAATATATAGGAAGATATTGTTTTAAGATTATTATGTTCCATGTTTAGATATATAAGGCTTAAGAGAGATGAAAAAGTGGATCTGAAAGTATTAAAGCTGTGTGATTAAAAATATCCACAACACAATTACTAATTTCAAGATATCATACCCACCCACTAATTTCTTCGATCGAGTTATAACATAAATTCAAGCTTTCCAGCCTTACTAGTGATGAAAAAATTGTTGATTCTAAACTTTTTAATTGATTATGGCTCAAGTCTAGTTCAAGTAGATTTATTTGATCATTAAACGTGGATTCATGTAGTGTTTTTATATCATTGTAAGCTAAAGATATATTTGTTAAACTTGAAGAATTCTTAAAAACGTTGGATGGAATTATTTCTAATCCACTGTTTTGTATATATATTTGTTTTAGATTTGGTAAGTTTCCAAATAAAGAACTTGGTAGTTCTACCATTTTAACATCATTGTTTAGAATAAATACGGTTTCCAACTCTAAATTATTCGAGAAAATATTTTTTGGCAATGTGGAAAATTTATTGGAAAATAATGTTAATTTCTTTAGTTTTCCCAGAGGTTTAAAAATTGATACAGGGAGTTCATTCAATCCATTAGAACTTAGGTCTAATTCTTCCAAAACATTTACGCCTGTAAAAAAATCCTTAGAAAACCACGTTATATTACTTTGCCATAAGGATAGCCTTCTTAATAGAGATAAATGAGAAAATAGATTTGATGACATATTTGTCAGGTGATTATGACTGATCTCTAAAGTTTCTAATTTCTCCAAGGGTTTAAATAATTGATCGGATAAATTGATGTTATTGAAACGAATGTTAAGCCAGGTTAGATTGTTTATATCTGAGAAAACATTATCGGGTAAGTGAGTTATACCATTAACTGATAGAAGCAATTTTGTTAGATCTTGTAATCCTGTAAAATGTCTTCTGTTTAAAAATCCAGATAATTTATGAGAATTTTGAAATATAAGTGACATCGTTTTTTCAACGCCCATATGTGAGAGTATTTCATGAAACGAAATGTTGGGTACCGGACAGTCCTTGAACGTAACTGACTTTAAAATACTCATATTGTAAGCATATCGTGGTAGCGTTTTATAGTCCAATGATGTTACATTTTCACATTTGATATTCAAGTATATACTTGGATGTAAATTTATTTTTATTTTATGACCTGAAATAAATTTCTTTTTTAGAAGAAAAATTCAATGTCACTATATCACGTTGATTTCAAGCCAGGATTGACTTCAAAGTCACTTACCGTCAATATTGCAATCGAGTTCAACTGCAAGCGTACCGCCACAAATGCAGTTAGGATGACTTGGGCACATCATTCTTGTACCTATTACATTTGCGAATAGGGATGTCATGATTAAGCAAAATATTTTGTTATTCATACTTGAAATCATAGTGTAGTCTTGAAAAAATATATCTAATAAATTTTAAATATCTTTCAGTTCATCCATCCATTCTGTAACAAGTAAGTTAAATTAATATAGGTATGTTTTAAGGTAATGATGTGATTAAAAATAAATATTTAAGAATACAACAATATACTTATATCCAAGTTTATAATTCAAATAATAACAAACAAATCGTAAATATGACACTTTTTACATTAATCTTAAAACACTAGAATTTTATTTAAAACATCGAGTTTATTGGGATACGATATTTAATTCTTAATAAATGTCAATCTAGAGGACATTCATTCCCATCCAGATGCGGTGAGTAGCTGGACCAGACAAGTTGACATTAAATAGCGTATCTCTCTGGATTATTCTAATAATTTTCATATTCAATAGTTTCGAATTCAAAGTTTTAATCAAATTTCGTTATTGTAATTACACAGTTAACAATATAAAATCCCCGAGGATATTTGTGCGTCGGCCTCCAGACCGGATATATTATTGTTTTCGCGAATTTTAAAGCGCGTAGTGATGATAGAGCTTACGGTCCCTTGGGAAACCAACATCCCCAAAGACCATACCATCAAGGTCAACAAATATTACGAGCTCACACACGAACTCACTCGAAATAGGTTCGTAGTAGATTTGTACGCGGTAGAGGTGGGAGCGAGAGGTATAACAGCCAAATCTCTCTACAACCTACTAAAAGACTTGGGCTTGTCCAGAACTCACATTAATGCATTCTTGGAACGTACATCGAAGGCAGCCCTAGTAGGTTCTTTTCAAATTTGGTTAGGTAGGGAGAGGAGCTTGGACAGTGGAGGTGAGCGTATAACGCGCGTTAGTTAAGGGGCCCCTTAAACCTACACTTGGGTCGCAAGTCCCAGGCACTGTTGAAGCTCCTCCCCCTGCAACGCGATGGACCCGGCACCCGCACGGTGAATCCATGGAATGCTGAGAAGTTTCGTCTACAGTAAAATACATTATTACGCATAAATAAAAATATTTTTTAAATATTTTTCGGTCTATATAATAAAGCTCTGTCTAGACTATAATTCATAACTTAACTTGACAGAAACGGACACGTGGTTCTGGCGTTTTGAGATAAATGACCACTGCATTACACACATTTTTATTATTAAATTTTCAACTAAACAATTCAACAGTGTGATTTATGTTTTTTATTTAGAAGTAAATTATTATATTTTTTTGTGAGAGACCATTGTAATCATATGTGAAAAATTTGTTATTAGCAATTCAACAATTTTCATCCTTACAAATTAGATTCTTTATATAAATAAAGAGTTAACTAACGATATCCATTGAAATTCATGTGAAATTCACATACACGTGATCATACTAATAATTTATTTAAATCTCCTGCTATCATATATTGTATGGAAAATTGACACTTTAAAAATTACATAAGTATATAAAAATGAAATAACTTACGTAAAACGCTATACATTAAAAAGCAAATATTAAAGAGTCTCTCGTGTATGAATTTAGTTAATATAAGCGACAGGTAAACGTGTGAAACAACAGAATGGGGCACTGTTATCGAGAGTTTCAATAAATGAAAAAAAAGATCAATATATGAATATTGAAATGGTAGTTGAAATAAAAAAAATGTATAAAAATATTAAAACTGATACCTATGCGAATATATTTGCATATTAAATACATAACTCATTATGTAAAATAATCATTTAAATATTTTTCTGTCGATAATATCCCTCATATTCATAATTAAAAAGTTAATCTTTTTTTGAGATACATTTGATATTCCCTAATACTCAAGGTTTAGAAGCAGTACAATTATATAGTATTTCTATAAAAATGTTGATGTCACATTTAAATTCCTTATTCAGTTACAAGTATTGAGTAACCCATTAGGAAGCAAAAAGAAAAATATGTGAAATACATACATACTTTCAACATTTTCGTATATATCGATTATTTGTTGCGATAATCGAGTGTTCTCAACAGACATGTGTTTTAATAGACTGAGTACCATTGCCAAAATGGTTAAAATTGTAAATGAAAGATAATGAAAATTGCAGTTTTTTATCTGGGAAATTTCTTTATTTTTTGTTAATTCTAGTTAATTTGTATTACACAATTTGTACATTATAATTGTTTAACATTAAAATATGCATAAACATTCCATAATGAATTATAATTGTATATAATAATTTTATAACTATTATGAAAAGTATTTAAATTTAATATTCATGCAATAAATTAGCAAGTTGATTAAATTCATGAAATATATAATAATTCGACTTTATCAGTAAATATAAAAAAAAGTCTAATATTATCGGTAAATGAAATGCTGAATAGCGGAAAAGTCTTACAAAGAAAATACAATGCTAACTCCAAATTAGGTATATAACTTCACAATCACGTACGTGTCCACTTAACAGTACCAAATGCAATTTCCAGTTGCTTGGAGTGCTAATTACTCTTATTGCATTATAGGGAATAATATGCTTCGTAAGTGGTGTATTATTAGTTAATGTATAATAAAGCTTCCTCTATTAATTTGACCGATATATTTCCTTTACTTATATTTTCTTCATGGTTAATATATAAATATTATTACATATTATCAAAGGAAAGTAAAGAGAAATTAAACTTTCTGTATTCAAATGTATATAATGTATTAACATTGTAAATTTTTAATTACTTAGATTTTTTAGATTATAATTTAAAAATATATATAAGGAGGTTTTTAATAATATATCTCATATACCTCATCTAAGAATTTAACTTTGAAAATTTTATGTAAGACTTATTTGAAATATTAATTTGAAACTGTGAGAATCACGTCATCCTTTGAAACGAGTTATAGCTTTAACTTTCTTTATGAATAGCAGAAAGAATAATTACTATTTATCTGTAAAAAATAATTTTCAAAAACGCTCATCAAAAAGGAAATAATTATTTTTATTGCAAAAGAAGCTTTTATTGAGACTTATTAAGTCATAATATAATTTAAAATCAAGAGTACTTGAGGTTTTATATAATCTATCTCCGAAAGGTTATTTCTTATAAAAAAAAAACATAATTTTATGAAAACAACATCGTTGGTAACAGAATTTTAAAAATTAAGAAGATTTCCTCAATAATATATAAAAAAGTAAAGCTAATTTAGTGTGATTGTTGAATTGCTATCAAAAAAGGTAAGAAACTGTAATAAACTAAACCATACAAATTGTTTGAGGAATTTAGAAATTAAAAAAATATTTTTTCTGATCTCAATAATGAACAAATTAAACAAAAAGATTTGCATTTTTTTTTCATTTACATTTCTTTCTATTAATAAAGTATGATGAAAACTTATATTAAAATGAAGACATCTAGAATATTTTAAATGTATTTAAAGTTATTCAACGAGATCAGGTAAATTTAAGATAAGGCGTTTTCAGACTTAAATTCTAAAGTTTATTTGTATGTTATAATTTTTAATAAATATAATTTTTCAATTATATTCAAAACAGTTAGTTTACTGTATACTTACCAAAAATTTACAGTTACAGATAATTAAAGTAACGTCTCCGTTTACACAAGCTTCAATTCTAAAAGTAAATAATCACCCATACCCTTTGTTAATAGTCCAGGTATTCATATTGCAAAGTAACTGTTATAATTTGCGGAAAGTGCAGACGCACCCAGCCCCCACGTCACGTGCTACCGACGGCTCGAATTAATGCTCCCCTTTATAAGGGTTTTTTGTAATGCAAATAACGCCACCGAATCGATACTTTCAGTGTTTTGTGAAGAGAATTCTTTTAACTTTGTTATATTTCGCAAAAAAATTATAACACAATGCGTAGACGAAATGTAATATTTATTTCATTGGAATACTTCTATAATATTTGTATGTATATACACATAAGGAACTAAACAACAATTTCAGTAATAAATTTTTATTATGTAATTGTTGATCAAACGTCGGATAATATCAAAAATTATATATATTTTAAATTATCCTTTCAATCCATCAACAACAATTAGAGCGTCGCAATTAATTACACAAAGTAACCCTAATACTATGGAATTCGAAACCATTGAGAAGCCCCCCGTATCTGATTATCTAAATTGCTTTTGTTTACTTTTGGAATGAACGCACTTAAACCAGTAATCCGATTAGAAGGATAATTCTGCTAAAGCTTTCTCCGATAATTCTTTATTCATACAAAGTAAAACATTTCAAGAAAATTATTTGACTTCTACGTTATATAATCTTATTATCTAACGATTTAAATAAAAATCTAAAACATGCTAAAGTATATTAAGCAGCTTTGTAGGCAACTGCCATTAAATCTTAAGATAAAATGCCAACACAGTAAATAGGATGGCACAAAACGGCAGTTAAGACGCGATTACATTTACTTTCGAGTTTTTTATTAAGGTTATATTCATGTTCTGCAAACACTTTTACTTAAGACTTGATTTAAATATACATTTAAATATGAATAAAATTTTATACATATATGTTTAATCAAGAGATACATAATATTTATTCGCTCTATTTTAAATATATTTAGATAGTATCATAATGATTTGTGAATACCAGTCTTCACTATATCAACTTCTTAATATGAACATATAACATGACTACTTCAGTAAATATACATTTAATAAAACCCTACAATGTTTGTTTTATATTAAATTTTATACCTCCATAAAAACGAATAATTTGTATTTAAAGTATCACCATAAAATACTTCACATTTATATGTTAAAAGCATATCTTGAACTTACCTCTAATAAAATTAATCCAATGAATCACATCCTTGACTTATATAAGAAAGAATTTAATATTTATCACTGATAATCTGTTTCCAATAATTTAATGCAATATTTATTATTTCAGAAAAGTTTATATAAATCAATCAAACTAGCCATCGGAGTTAAGTACAACTAACGTAGACGCGTAACCGCTACAGTGTCTACGACAGGACTGAATCGCTACGCTGCTATCGTTTTGCCGA